TATAGCCCCCCAAGAATAAATAAACTAAATATCAATAGCAAACATCTTAGAGGGACAATTTCAAAGTTAACAGAACGAAAATCACAATAGAGCCAAAGGTTTTTTAAAGTTGGAATTCTGGAAAAAAAATTGTCAGACGTGAACGCTGCCTTATTGTTTAACTCACCTCCTATTCTATAGGCCAGGCAGAATAAATGTAAGGTTCTTGTACTGAATTGTTTATGAATACATACGTTTATGTCATGTGTTTCTTCTCCCACTGTCTCCTTTTTTTCCCCCTTCATTTTAATGAGTAGGGAGAGGTTGACATCTGTAGTGCCTATTCTTGTCCTTTTTACAAGAACAGAACAGGTAGGCAGACATATGGATCACATACCTGCAGTCTCAACACAACAAAGGCAAGACAGGCAGCAAGATAGAAATGTCATTTTCTTTTTCCTAAGTTAGAAAAAGGAAGAACATATTGTAATGCTGATCGTTTTCCAGAGGGACTGATGTTTTCATGTGCTACTGTAATCTTACTTTGAGCTGTAATTGTAATTATAAACCCTATTTCTGGAAGGTTTATAATGTAGACATTTTAATGTTATTTCAATTTGTAGCACTTTCCAAAAAAATAAGATGCCTAGCCAAGGTTGGGCTGAAAATTTGAGCCCAAATTTTGTTACTGCCAGTCCAGATGTGTCTGATTTGGAAGTGCCCTGTCTGAAGAGTCTAAAACAGTGGTTCACAAACTTTTGGTGGACCAGTATCATTTTATTTGTATATTTATATATTCATATATATCCAGTTTTTCAAAGGGACATTGTTAAGGGCCCAAAAGCAAGCTATTCCGCTGCATTGGAAAGATAGAAAATATGGCAAAAGACCGCCTTGGCTTAACCACAAGAGCTTGCATGATCTAAAAATAAAAAAGAAGGACAAATTACAAAGAATGAATATAGGCAAACAACACAGGAATGCAGGGGCAAGATTAGAAAGGCAAAGGCACAAAATGAGCTCAAATTAGCTATGGGAATAAAGAGAAACATGAAGACTTTTTATAAATACATTAGAAGCAAGAGGAAGACCAAGGACAGGGTAGGCCCACCAGTCAGTGAGGAGGGAGAAACAGTAACAGGAAACTTGGAAATGGCAGAGATGCTCAATGACTTCTTTGTTTCCGTCTTCACCGAGAAGCCTGAAGGAATGCCTAACATAGTGAATGCTAGTGGGAAGGGGAGAGGTTTAGAAGATAAAATAAAAAAAGAACAAGTTAAAAATCACGTAGAAAAATTAGATGCTTGCAAGTCACCAGGGCCTGATGAAATGCATCCTAGAGTACTCAAGGAGCTGATAGAGGAGGTATCTGACCCTCTAACTATCATCTTTGGAAAATCATGGGAGACAGGAGAGATTCCAGAAGACTGGAAAAGGGCAAATATAGTGCCCATTTATGAAATGGGAAATAAGAACAACCCAGGAAACTACAGACCAGTTAGTTTAACTTCTGTGCCAGGGAAGGTGATGGAGCAAGTAATTAAGGAAATCCTCTGTAAACACTTGGAAGGTGGCAAGGTGAGAGGAAACAGCCAGCATGGATTTGTAAAGAATAAATCATGTCAAACCAAACTGATAGCTTTCTTTGATAGGATAACGAGTCTTGTGGATAAGGGAGAAGCAGTGGATGTGGTATACCTAGACTTTAGTAAGGCATTTGATATGGTCTCGCATGATATTCTTATCAATACACTAGGTAAATACAACTTAGATGGGGCTACTATAAGGTGGGAGCATAATTGGCTGGATAACCGTACTCAGAGAGTAGTTATTAATGGTTCACAATCTTTCTGGAAAGGTATAACTAGTGGCGTTCCGCAGGGGTCTGTTTTGAGACTGCCTCTCTTCAATATCTTCATCAACGATTTAGATATTGGCATAGAAAGTATTCGCTTATTATGTTTGCAGATTATACCAAGCTGGGAGGGGTTGCGACTGCTCTGGAGGATAGGGTCATAATTCAAAATGATCTGGACAAATTGGAGAAATGGTCTGAGGTAAACAGGATGAAGTTTATTAAAGACAAATTCAAAGTGCTCCACTTAGGAAGGAACAATAAGTTTCACACATACAGAATGGGAAGCGACTGTCTAGGAAGGTGTACGGCAGAAAAGGATCTAGGGGTTATAGTGGACCACAAGCTGAATATGAGTCAGCAGTGTGATGCTGTTGCAAAAAAAGCAAACATGATTCTGGGATGCATTAACAGGTGTGTTGTGAGCAAGACACGAGAAGTCATTCTTCCGCTCTACTCTGCGCTGGTTAGGCCTCAGTTAGAGTATTGTGTCCAGTTTTGGGCACTGCATTTCAAGAAAGATGTGAAGAAATTGGAGCTGGTCCAGAGAAAAGCAACAAGAATGATTAAAGGTCTAGAGAACATGAATTTAGATAAAAGCTCTTGGGGGAGGGGGACACAGCAGTCAACACTGTGTGTACTCAAGATTGACCCGTTTCCTGGGTTTGGGCTCACATAGCATCACTGAGCATAAAACTCTTCTGCCTAAGCTTTTTCCATAAGCATGTCTGTTCCTTGGGTCTGCCTGCAGAACTTCTGCTATCCCACAGCAGTTACCTATGTCTCAGGAACACTTAATTTTGCGCTCTCCTGTTTCCAGCTAGCACTGTCTGTTCATCAGCAGGGACCTTGGATAGGAAACTCTTGGGCTTTGTCTACACTACAAGATTTATGAGGCAGAAGGAACTGGGCCTTTTTAAAGGTTGGGAGAGTAGGGTGATCAGCTAAACTCGGGGTTTAGTAAGGAAATTATGCATCGCATGAAATAGTTTTCCTAAAGTACAGTTGTAAGAGGAACATTTGAAGGAAGTGTGGATACATAAAAAGTAGAAAAATTAAGCGAGGTTTGAGTTTTACAGCTTTAAATCTTATTGGAAAGGCTTCGTACATGTTTACAACTTTCCTTTCTGATCTTGTGTTTAATGTTTGGAATTTATGTCGTACATTAATTAGTAGCAGCAGAGGAAAGAAATCTCAGTTAATGCCAGCACTCTGACTGTAATACTTCTCAGTGTGACTGGGCATCACACAGCGCACTGCATTCATACTTGGTGAGCTGCAATATCAATGCTCAGTAGTATGACGAAGGGGAAAGAAGTCAGGCATGTGTCATCCTTACCTTGAGTTTCCTCATGTGGTCTTCGCTTTATCACCACCAAATTAATGTACAGTTGGCATTAAATATTGAGTATTATAACTGAGCTGGCCAAAAAATACCTCTTTTCAGGAAATGTAATTGGGACTTTTCCAAATTAATCCCCTCCATAAAATGTATTTTATGAAAACCTGAAATAAACATTTTATCATACTTTAGATTTTGGTATTTCATTAAAAAACTGGAACATCTCTACCAAAATGAAAATGTCAGTGACATTTCAATCAACTCCAATTTTAACAGTAATTAAGAAACCTATCCATTTGCACATATATGTGTTGGTGGCAGGTATAGTAGGTGTTTTAAAGCAATAGTACTATCTGTATGTACAAACATTTTGAAATGGTATGTGGCATACTGACTTGCTCAACTTCCTTGAGACTATTTTAGCATCATGCATTTTTTTAGTACATCCTATAGAAATCACATGTACTAACTTTTATGAGCTCAGAGAATTAGGGTAAAAATAACTATTATTATATGCAATGTCAGATACAGTTGTGAAAGCATGAACCTCAAGAGCAATGGTTGACTTTCTTATCTTGAGATGAAATGTGGTTACATTTTGGAGATACTTAATGTAATAAGTATCTATTTCGGAGCATGCAAATCTCTGAAATAGAATGTGGTTGTTTAAAGTCATAGATGTCCCAGAGACGGAAAACTATGGGAGCTGCACAAAGCCATTTTATTGTCAAGCTCATCTTTTCCAAACTTTGTGTTTTTTAATCATTATTTCCAACCCTAATATTAAAGGCACTACTGTGTCTGCCCCTCTTCCCCTCCCCCCCCCCCACTGTGGCGCTTGGCTGAGGGCTGCCTGCTCAGCCAGGCTGCTGTGAGGGAGGGGCGATGATAGCACACTCTACTGATTGCTCTGACTACATGGTATAAATAATTGTTCTCAGTTGTAAACAAACACAGCTTCTGAGCCCCATTAGTATAAAATCCTACCCAGGAAATGCCATTATAACTCTCAGTTGGGGTGGCTGAAAAATCCTACTGCTGGATATTTGTTTCCCTCCACACACACAGATCTATATAGTAGTTTCCTAGAATTTATTTCTAGGAGCAATGATTTTAAAACATCAAATGGGCTTCCAGTAAGGTTGATCCAAATCAAATCCTGTGTCCACACTCCTGAATGTTGCTAGCGTTTGGATTTTTCTCTGGATGGGAGTTCTAACATTGTGACTGTTCTGAGTCAATTGACAGATCATTAAATCAACTTTCCCAACCCTTTTTGCAAAAAAAGCAAGTTTTGTATAAATCTAGTATTGATTTCTCTATTTTAATCAATTATCTTCTATATCAGGGGTGACACATACTGGTCCATGGACTAGATCCTGTTCACCAGAGTTAGCTCCTGGCAGGCCACTACCACTATATTTAACTGTACATCCACAGGTATGAGTAATTGCAGTTCCCTTTGGCTATGGATGGCCAGGATCAGCAATCTGCAGCCATCAGGAGCTGCAATTGCCTATACCTGCAAAGGCACAGGTAAATAAACAGTAGAGGCCCACTGGGGCTGACTCTGGCAAACTGCTGCCGGTTTATTGCTCACCCCCTGTTCTAAATACACAACAAAACATTCACTTCTTTGTGAAAGGGATTCTCATTGAGACATTCAGAGTTCATCTAATTCCATTGCTATCCCCTTCTGAATAGTAATTTTATGTTTGCCTCTTATCTGGCTATAAATTTGCCTTGTTTAAAATGAATTGTTTGATTGCATGATGCTATTGATTACCACAGTTGTTAAAAAGATTAATTGATTTGTTTTTGCAGTGAGCTTGAGGAGAAGAATGGAAGAAGGAAAAGAAGCAACAGCAGAGATCCAGCAGAAGAAATGCCACTGAGAAGGAAAAAGGCTAAACTCAGTGATGAAGACTCTTTTGTGCCGTTAGATACGGGGCTTTCTCTGGCAGAGGATGAAGAGCTCGTACTGCATCTGCTTAACAGTCATAGATAATTATTTTCCCCAAGGTTTTTTTTTTAAGTCATTTTTGCCCTTATGTCTGAATTCTGCATAAAATCAATCTGGCATCAGGGCAGATGGGTATCTGTGGACAGTGATAAATGAGTTTCATGTACAATGGTTTTGCCTGAGATCAGATAGTCAGTTACGTACAAGATTTTTATTTTTCATGGTGTATCTGTGGGGTGGTTAGGTTTGGATTATAAAGATTTCCCATCCAATTTTCCACTCTAAATTCCCAGATAGTATTTTGTTAGTAGCACATTTATAATTGAAAAGCTTCAACTTTGAAGTATTTGATGTATTTTTTTTTTAATAAAAAGTAAGGTTGCTTCAAATACAAAAGCTTAGTGTGCTCCAGTCTCAATTTTTCTTGATTTTTTGGCAGGTTTATAATATAAAAGACTAAAACTATTAAAGAATAAATATTTTTCCAAGCTCAAATGATGAACAGTAGATGTTGTTTGTGAAATGGAATACAGAATTGTTTTTACTATTGGTACATGCATTTGTTTAAAAGCTTTTGAAGTTTTTTAAATAAAGTATGTTTATATCTCTTTAGCTTCCTCATGAAAGCAATTAACCTCTCCAGCTAGTTTGCATTTCCATTATACTTCCAGTTCTGTCAACTGAGTTGAGCCAATCAGAAAAAGAAACAAATGAAAATAAAATATTTTGCAAGAGACAGGCACACAAGAGGACAGTGTGCTGCCTTCATAAAGCCAAGACGTGAGACACCATTATAAGGGTATGTCTACACTACATGGCTGTTTCGACACAAACTTGTCATTAAAATTCATGTAGTATAAATGTTATTTGTCAGCACTTTTGTGGACAAAAAGCTTCCACCCCCAAAGAGCAGTGTTTTCTCTCAGTGGGAGAGCATTCCTGTTTATACTAGTACTAGCCATGGCAAAGCTTTTGTCCTTCAGGAAAGGGAAGGTTTAAGCACTTGTGAAAGACGAAAGCTTTGTCTCAACTTCCAGTGCAGACAAAGCCTAAGATTGGGTAGGCTTCTGAAGTCAACAGGCATGGATCCATTGGTAATCTCTCTATATCAGTGTGAGCCAAGTATGGCTTACTAAGGAGCCAGATATGGCTTTTCTGAAGCCCCAACTCAGCTGCCCCCACAGCAGGGAGCCAGTGCTGGTGCTAAAGCCTCGCAACCCCCTGCAAGATTGGAACGCTAGCACCAGCTTCTTGCGGGGGTATGGGAGCAGGGGGAGAAAGCCCTGAGCCTCCCCACCAGATCAAAATGGGGAACAAATGTGCATTGCCCTTTTCTTTCCCCCAGTGTGTGGGGAACAAGTGGAACCAAAAATGGCTCTGTGCGCTTCCGCTGTGAATCCTTCTTGGAGTCTTCCTTCCAGCAGATGGGAGCAGCAGAAGGCTGTGTTTTTTCATCCCTGCAATGCAGTGTGAAAACAAGTGCATGCCCCTCCCCCCCACTGACTCATGCCCAGACCCCTACCCCCTCATTCACTTTGCATGGCCAGACACCCTGTCTCCAGCCCTCTCCTGCCTCCTTGCCAGACACCCTGCCCCCAGCCTGCTCCTGCACCCTACCTGCCACCCAGACCTCACACTGTCACCCCCTACTAGACTCCACTTCCTGAATCACATCCCTATCCCATTCACTGGCAGCCTGTCCCACACATTTAACCTCTCATTTTTGGCCCAGTCCCAGAGCCCGAGTGTGTGTGTGTGTGGGGGGGGGGCACAATTCACTAACCCTGGAACCCCAGAAGAGTTAATGTGCCCTGAGGCCTTGAACCTCAGTTCTCCCTGCCCCTCCCCCCACCATAGGGCTGGAGCACTGGGGAGTGAGTGAGGTGTTTCAGTTGGGGGCCACATTAGTGAGGGTTGGGGTTTTTTGGAGGGTATTGTGTTTTGCATCTAACTTGACTGATTTTTCTGTGGGTCAGTGGCCCCCGACTCAAAAAAGGGTCTCCACTCTTGCCATAAATAAAGGCTGTGTTGAAACCTTTTGTGTTGGACACAATTTATTTCATTTAAAAATGAAGCCTGGCCAACAAGCCCCCAATTGTGGCCCAGTCCCCATCTGGCCACAGCAGCATAATACTCTTGCATCCCCGCCCCCACACCAATCCTGAGCCCATCATATCCCCACATGCCAGACTCCTGCACCCCCACATCCTCAGTCCTCTGTCATAACACTCTTGCACCCTCACACACCTCAGTCTTGTGCCCTGAGTCCATCATACACCGCAATCCGAAGCCTAATCCGAACTAGCTACTCCGTGCCGCGTGTAGCCGCGTGGCACGGGATTCGAACTAGCCGGCATTTAAAAATGGCGCCAGCTGGCTTCATGCAAATGAAGCCCGGGAAATTCAAATCCCGGGCTTCATTTGCAACTGCGGATGACTACATTACCCCTGCTAGTTCAAACTAGCGGGGTAGTGTAGACATACCCTATAAGTGCTAAGTAACGATACAATTTATTTTTAAAGTAGTTGGAAATTAGTGTATAGGTTGTTTGTTTGTTTGTTTGTTTGTTTTGAGAAGAATGTTTCCTTTGTTTATCACAGTACCTGTACCAGCACCAGTCAATCTCAGACTCACAGAAGTAACAAAGCAAAGTTTCAGAGGCACTTGGGATCATGGTGCTCCAGATGTGGCTCTGTATAGAATCACCTGGGGACCATATGGTGGAACAGAAAAGATGGAGGTAGGAATGAATAGTCAATAGTCTTTAGTATGCTCTAAGAGCAGTACTTTTTATTTGAAATTAAATTAGTAAATGGTCTCAGTCTTGGAAACCCTTCAATGGGAATTCCACGTGGAGAGTCTTTTGGATCTTCTCCAACGCTTGCAGACAACTAAAATGTCACTTTTGTAAAGAAAAATGCTCTGTTATCTCCTTTCTTTCCCTTCACCCCAGACCATCCTGAATGGTGATGAAAATACTCTGGTTTTTGAAAATCTGAACCCAGACACATTATATGATGTCTCTGTTACTGCCATCTATCCTGATGAATCTGAAAGTAATGAACTGATTGGCAGAGAACGGACATGTAAGTAGTCAGTTCCCTAAAAGGGATAATATACATTTAGGCTACATCTACACTACAGGCTTCTTGCACAAGAATGGCTGTTCTTGCGCAAAAACTTGCAGAGCGACAACACTGCACGCACGTTCTTGCGCAAGTAAATTTACAATAAAGCGTCGGAACAGAAGGCTTCTTGTGCAAGAGTTATTCCTTTCCCCATTAGGAATAAGCCCTCTTGCGCAAGAGCTGTTACACAAGAGGACAGTGTGGACAGTCAATAGGGTTTCTTGCGCAAGAAATCCCTATGGCTCAAATGGCCATCAGAGCTTTCTTGTGCAAGAGAGCGTCCACACTGCCATGGACGTTCTTGCACAAAAGCACATATCTTGCACCAAAGCACATGGCAGTGTGGATGCCCTCTTGTGCAAGACCTTTTGTGCAAGAACTCTTGTGTAAAACAGTTCTGGCGCAAGAATCCTGCAGTGTATATGTAGCCTATTATTATTATTATTATTATTATTATTAGCTATTAAATTAGAATTAAAGGCACGTGTGCAATATTTTTCATAAATGCTTGTGCTTTTTCCTAGTACCGGAAATAATTACAACAACACCAGGTAAGAACCTGAATTCACAGATATGTTAATTATAGAAGTCATAATTCCCATTTAAAACTGAATGGTGTATTGATGATAATGATATCAGCTTGTTCAATAAATATACTTTTATATTTAGAATTATATTAAACATATTGTTAACAGGTTTTATTATTTTACAAACTTTCCAGTTAAATTCTCTTCTTGGTTGTATTATGAAAACTCTGGGCCAAATTCTGCACTTGTCTGGCTCAGTGAAGCCATTGGCATCTCAGCACACGTCTGAGTACAGAATTTGGCCCAGTATTTGAACCTTGTGCTTACCCTGTGCTTCAATAACTTCACATCAGCACCGAAGAGTGGCCCACGAAACCTTCAGGTATACAATGCGACTTCCAATAGCCTGACTGTAAAGTGGGATCCAGCCATTGGCCGAGTGCAGAGATACAGGATCACTTACCAGCCCACAACTGGGGATGGCGTTGAACAATCGGTAACTAATTTTTAAAGACTGTAGTTATTAGATAATGAAAAACCATTTTGACAACGTCAGTCTTGCGTTTAGTGTGTCAGAACAATTTAGTTTCAATTCAGAGCAGTACCAAAATTAATCAGGGACATTTTTAGATGAAGCTTTGTGTTTAAAATAAATATGCATATTTGTGTATTAAATATAACATTTCCAAGCTATTATGTTTTTTATTGGGGGGAAAAAAGTGCCCATGTGTAAAGTCCATTTTCCGGAGATTCCCCTGCATTCCGTTATCTGTACAGGTCAGAGAATAAAGTAACACATGCCAGACTCCTGCACCCCCACATCCTCAACCCTCTGCCATAGCACCCCAACCTTGTACCCTGAGCTCATCATACACTTGAACCCCCTGCCCTGAGCTCCTCACACTCCCACATCCCAGTCTCCTGCCATAACACTCCTGCACCCCACACATACCCCAACCTTGTGCCCCAACCCCCCTGCCCTGAGCCCCTCATATTCAAATCCCGGGCTTCATTTGCAAGTGCGGTATGCCTACATTCTCCTCCTAGTTCGAATTAGGAGGGTATTGTAGACATACCCTGAGGGAGGCGATGAAATCTCCATCCTAAGAGGTTTTTACGGTGATGCTTGACAAATCCCCGGCTGGGATTATTTATTTGGGGTTAGCCCTGCTTTGAGCAGCGTTTGAACTAGATGACCTCCTGAGGTCTCTTCCAACCCTGAACCTTTATGCTTTTACTATAGTTTGTCAGGATAGATGTTTACCTATCATGATTGCTACAGTAAGGGTATTAGGCAGGGCTAAGTTGAACCTTTAACGCTAACTGGACTGCATATTTCTTGATCTAGTTGGTCCTGAGGATTTCTCACTTTCAAGGGAGTTACAATTCAAATTGATAAAACTTTAATAGAAAACTGTCATCTTTCTGCCCACATTACTTCTGCTCTCTAGATCTCCTTGTGTTATTTGTACTCTCTGGCATTTGCAACTCATCTCAATTTTGGTTTCATTTCTCTAGCTGAATTAATTGCTCTCAAAAGAGGTATTTAAAGTTTCCTTTTAGAAATGCTAATAACATGTCAGGCCAGTTTGAATATATTCAGAGTAATAAATTTCAGAATTTGCTTTCACACAAAGCTTTGATGGGCCAAAATGGGTGTGTTTTTTTTTTTTTTTTTTTAAAGTAAGGCTCTTGCCAAACTATAATGGTAAATGCTGGATGTTCACAACATTCAATTGAAGAAGCTTAATGCAGAAAACCGATTCTTATCAGGGTGAGTGACTGAAGATAATATCATGATTAAATTAGAATGAAGCTGAAGAAAAGTTGCTGAATTCCATGCATACCTAGTGCATTGCCTGTCATCTATTTTTGGCAAAGAGGCTATTCATCAGATTTAGTCTTTTAAAACGATCACTTAAATTACACTAGGCTAACTGATATGACATTTATTCAGGAGTGGAATATTTTGGATAGGTGCCATCTCATAAGCTTTGCACAGCATCTTAGCTGTGTTCTGTCTATAAAATACGGCTACGTTCAATTAAAGTGAATTCATTTTGTGGAACAACTTTTGAAATCCTTTCAATTTCAGAAATAGTCTCGGCTCAATTTCAGTCTAGAATTCAGCGGAAGGAAGCCAAATGAGCAGCATTTGCCTTATCATTCTGAGTTTAAAGTAAGAAACATAGTACTCTGCATAGCCTTCAGATGTTACAAAGAGAATTCAGGAATTTCTCCCTTTATTCCTCTGAGCTTGGTTTAAAAGTCTATGTGTGAGTAACTGTATGCAAAGCCAGAGCTGGTACCAATTTGGAGCTTTTTGTTTACATAAAAACAGTGTTTAAATCTAAGATAAAATGGCTACTCAGCTCATTTTTCATAAGTCTGCTATATATCAGTTGCATTACAGTTATAGAATCTAGGAATGCAGCCAACCTGGTATATTTAAATAGCCATAATCATTTAATCTTTGCCAGGAATTTTATAAGCTTTTACTGAAATGCTACTTGATTTTTATTCCACAATATGCAGAGTCTTAGCAATTTATATTGTGTGATTGGCATATGGCTGAAAAACTTTGGATGGCAGTGAGAATAGTTCAAGAGCTTTACAACATTAGCTTAAAAGTCAGCATAAATATATTACAAATCTCTGCTGAACAGGCTAACTTTTTTTAGGTTAATGCTTGGAATACAATACATCTCGAAGTAACCTCTTTCCCAATTAATTATGTATTGAGAGAAGTAAAAATGCCTAAATCTTCTGAGTAAGGGAGCCATGAGAAATAGGCTGCACAGGTACATAAGGAGCAGACTTTGTTTGACTAGCTTGATTGCTTTTTGGGATAGTATTGCAAATAGAAGGGATGAAGGGAAATCAGTATTATTGGCAAGAGTGTAAATTATTTTAAACTATCCCACAAAATATGGCACATTAAAATGCAAGTCTACTTGGAAATGGCCAGTGCTGCATGGAGGGAAACCTGGCTGACTGGTCACAGGCAAAGGTTACAATCACTAGCAAAGTGTCTAGTTAGCGATGGAATAATGGAATCTTTTGAGTACCTTCCTTAGTGATGGAAAAAATAAAGAGCATATTAATGAAATTCTCTCATGACATGAAATCTAGAGGCATGCTGAATACTAGTGAGAACAGATCTTGAGTTCAGAGACCCCACTCTGTGTCTGAAACACACATTCATCTCTCTTCCTTTAAGAACAAAATACGGATTGAACCCCTCGGGGCCTGACAGGTGCTGAACCAAACAATTTGCTGGACCACAGGAGGTCAATATTATCTAGCATTACCAACACTTCCACTGCTCTTAAAAGATATTCGAGATAAATAACATAGAACACTGAGAACCAAGATTAGTGGCTGTAAACAAACTTTATGGGACTGTGGGAAACACGGCCACGCCCATGATAAGTGAACATCCAGCTAACTAAAATCATGCCAGACCATGGATGTTGCTGAACCAAAGAGTAGCCAACTAGAGATGTTCAGCCTATATACAGAGCTTAGAAAACATAAAGAAACCAGACTGGCAAAATCAAAGAGAAATAGCTGAGTTATATTTGGCAAAGTTGGATTATGAAAACAAAAAAGTGTAACATGAGAATGCCACTCTGACTTTTCCAGAAATCCTGTCTGCATCTCTCTGGGGAAAATTAAACTTCCATTCTGTGTAACATTTCCAAATGCAGCTATTCACAAAGCCTAAGTCCTAACAACATCTTGCAATGGGGTACTATAAAAATGATGTTTCGGATGCAAGCTTGGCCATCCTGTTGGTCAGTGTGCTATTGAGCTCATCCCAGCTTGTCACACTCTAATGAGCGCTATTAGATTTGGTGATCACAAAGGTGAACACAAACATCTGCCGTCTCTCTGAATCACACCCCCATGCGCACCGAATGAAAGGGCAACAGTGCTGGAGGTGCTGCTGCTCTGAGTGTCTTACCTTGACAACAGCTGTACAGCCAAGTAGTTCCTGGCAGAAAGAGCCAATGCCTACTGTCCAATTACACAAGCCTTCTCCGCAGCTATTTAAAGTTGAAGTCAATTAAAATAATTAAAACAAAACCAAAGCTGGCTGATCAGGTGAATGCTGTGTCAGCAAGGTCCTCCACTGCCGCTACGTAAATGGAAGATTTGTATAGCAACGGGAGCCCTAACTCTCATTGTGGCTACTGTATTTTATGTAGTTAGAGTAGAAGAATCTACCTTATAACCTACCACGTAAGGAAGGAGCTTAATGGTTTAACAGTGCTGTGTATTTAGATTTATATATACATCCCTTGAAAGGAGCGCCTACCCTTTGCCAACTGCACTTGCCCATTCTGAAATAGAATCAGAAATGCAGAAGACAGTACCTTGAGAAGTTGTCATGTCCAGCATGTGCCCTGTGACAGGCCTAACTCAACATAGATCATCCTAGACAGGCATTTATCTCAGCTCCTCCTAAATACCTCCAATGACCCAATTCCACAACCTCCCAGTTTACAGAGGAAGACCTGGCACACATAGAGGGTAAGCAACCTGCCCAAGGTCACACGGGTAGTCTGGGGCAGAGCATGGACGTTATTCTGAAGTTCCAAAGTTCCTAGCAAACATCCTAGCCACTGGACCGTTCTTCCTCTCCAGACAAATACACGTCAGAAGAGTTTGTAAGGCAAGGGAAGACAGTTACACGTAGACCTGCTTGAATTACTGTTCATTCCAATAGTGCACATGGCTAATTAGTTCCTTTGTCATTATCAAAATAATCCTTTTCTTTTAATGCATCAGTTAAGTATTCATTGAATAATTGGCGTGGCCAGCTTCAGCCTGAGAGAGGTTATATTAACTGTTTGCTTTGATTACTCTGATTAATCAATCATGTACATTAATGTTTTATTGTTTCTGCTCTCTGACTGGACTGGTGGGGGGGGAGGGGAGCAGCATTCAGTAACACTTACCTAGTGTCTGCACTCAGTTACTCTACAAACCAAGCCCATTTTAATGAACAGAGATATTCAGTTGCTTTAGTTAGGAGTCTAAACAGTCCTGGGTTGCCTGTTTCTTCTGTAACATCTGGCGTCACGAAGAGGATTCCAGGGGAGAGTCATACCTAATCCACATGTCTTGATGGATCACCTGGGTAAGTCTGATGGGCTCTTTACTGTAACAATTGTTAAGGATTTTATTAAGTTGGTGGGGAAATGGAAAAAACCTTATGTATGTCACTTGGGGGAGCATCAGGCCATTCAGGGATGGGCAAAATCCTCTCTCGCATCCAAAATAAAAAAAAGGCTGTGGTGTTGCAGACTCTATGTAAGGGTCTGCCTGGATTGTAAGGAAAGTTACTACTCTTAAAAAAAGGAAAAACTCTGCAGCAAATTGCTAAAAAGCAGCACGCTGTTAATCATCAGAGTGTGTTAGCAGTCAACATGGCTGAAAACTACATGGACGATTTTAATCATTTCAAAGCTAAAAACGTAGCTGTAAAGGGCCAAGTAGATGCCTTAAAGCAAACTTTTT